ATGGAAGACTGCATTTAACACCCCCACTGGTCATTACGAGTACTTGGTCATGCCTTTTGGGTTAACCAATGCTCCAGCAGTCTTCCAAGCTCTGGTCAATGATGTTTTGAGGGACATGGTCGGGCACTTTGTTTTTGTTTACCTTGATGACATTCTCATCTACTCTCAGGATCTGGATTCTCACAAGAACCATGTTCGGTCGGTCCTTCTTCGCCTCCTCCAGAATCATCTTTTTGTTAAGGCAGAGAAATGTGAGTTCCACTCCACTACCACCTCTTTTCTGGGCTACATCATTTCCCCCAACCAGGTGATCATGGATCCTTCTAAGATTTCTGCCGTTTCCGAATGGCCCACACCCACAGATCGCAAACAATTACAGAGATTTCTTGGATTTGCTAACTTTTACCGTCGGTTCATTCGTAATTACTCTCAAGTAGCATCTCCGCTTCATGCCATTACCTCATCCAAGGTCCAGTTCAGTTGGAGCAGGCAGGCAGAGGAGGCCTTCTCTAGGCTCAAGTCTTTGTTCACCTCTGCTCCAGTTCTCCGGACCCCTGATCCTGAGAGACAGTTCCTTGTGGAGGTCGATGCCTCTAGCACTGGGGTAGGCGCTGTCCTAAGTCAGAGAACCACTGATGGTCGTATTCATCCTTGTGCCTTCTTTTCTAGGACTCTATCCAGTGCCGAACGGAACTATGATGTGGGGGACAGGGAGCTTTTGGCCGTCAAGCTGGCCCTAGAGGAATGGAGGCATTGGCTGGAGGGGTCCAAGGAACCATTTCTAGTATGGACGGACCACAAGAATCTGGAGTACTTGAAGGCAGCCAAACGGCTCAACCCCAGGCAGGCTAGGTGGGCTCTGTTTTTTGGAAGGTTCAATTTTACACTCTCTTACAGACCTGGGACCAAGAACATGAAACCGGATGCCTTGTCAAGGATTCACGAACCCTCGGAGTCGATGGCCGCTGGTGCAGAGGAGTTTATCCTCCCAGACTCGGTGAGATTGTCTGTACCCATGTTGGAACTGGAGGAGGAGGTCAGGGCCGCCACCCGAGGTCTTCTGGTCCCAGCCTCTTGCCCCCCCGACAGGCTGTTCGTCCCGGAACATCTGGTCCCTAAGTTACTCGAGTTCTGCCATAAATCCCGTCTGTTCTGTCATCCAGGCATCAGCAAGACCTTACAAATTGTCTGGTCTCAATTCTGGTGGAGCTCAATGACCAAAGATGTTAAGGAGTTCATTACAGCCTGTCATCAATGCTGCCAAGCAAAGTCATCTCGTCGCCTGCCCTCAGGGTTGCTGCGGCCCCTTCCCATCCCATCACGCCCTTGGTCGCACATCGCTATGGACTTTGTCACAGGTTTGCCCAGTTCTGATGGATTTGTTGTCATGTTAACTGTCGTTGACAGATTTTCGAAGATGGTCTATCTGGTCCCCCTCAAGAAACTCCCCTCTGCAAAGGAAATGGGGGAGATCATGGCACGGGAGGTGTTCCGCCTCCACGGGCTTCCCACTGACATCGTCTCGGACAGAGGACCTCAATTTGTCTCTCGCTTCTGTGCCATGCTTGGCATATTTGTCAGTTTATTGTCGGGGTTCCATCCCCAAACCGATGGACAGACTGAGAGGGCAAACCAGGAGATCGAGACCAAACTTCGTATCCTTTGTGACACTGACCCTACCAGGTGGTCACACAACCTACTGTGGGTGGAACATGCCTTAAATGCTCTTCCCTCTAGCACCACTGGTCTTTTGCCCTTCTACATTGTCCATGGATTCCAGCCACCGGTGTTCACTATTCTAGAGAGGGAGGCTAAGGTTCCCTCCGCTCACGCTGCAGCTATGAGGTGCCAACGGGTCTGGAGAAAAGCCAGGAGGGCCATGATCAAGATGTCAGAGGTGCAATTCAGATCTGCTAATCAGTACAGTGTCCCTGCATCCACCTACCGAGTTGGCCAGAAGGTCTGGCTGTCTTCTAAGGATCTTCCCCTACGGGTGGAGAGTCGGAAGTTGGCACCTCGTTTCATTGGTCCCTTCCCCATCTCCAAGATTGTGAACCCGGTGGCGGTCCGCCTACAGCTGCCCCGTTCCATGAGGATTCACCCCACATTCCATGTGTCCCAGGTCAAGCCCTACGCCACACCTCGTCTTGAGCCTGCCTCCAAGCCCCCTCCACCTACTCGGTTCCCGGATGAGGACCCCATCTACACTGTTAACCGCATCCTCCGGTCCAAGAGAAGGGGACGTGGCATCCACTACCTGGTTGATTGGGAAGGATATGGACCGGAGGAATGGACCTGGATTCCTGGTCGTTTTGTCATCGACAAGACCGTCCTGAGGAACTCCCACCGCCTCCATCCTGATCAGCCGAAGGGTCCGTCGGGAGCCGGACCTTAGGAGGGGGGTTCTGTCATGTTTCTGGCCCGTCTGCCTGCTTTGTTTTTCTCCTCAGCACTCACCTCCCATCAAGCTCATCTGGTTCACCTGCATGCTGCTGTGCTGGAGCGCAATCAGGTTCATGTCTTCCACCTGTTCACCAGCAGTTATAGTCAGCTCTCAGGCAGGCAGACGGTGCCAGATTTTTGAAAACCTTGGTGTGAGTAGATATCCAGCATTTCCTCCTTACCTGACCATGATCTCGAACACATTTTTTGTCTCTTGGATTTTCCTGCCCTGTCTAGCCCACGTTGGATTCTTCACTGGCTTCTGTTTTCTGGACTCGACTCTGCTTCTGCCTTTCGACCTCTGCCTCCTGCCTCGCCTCTGGATTTGTCTGCCTGATATTGCCTGCACGTGTTGGACCCTTTTCTGCGCCCTGACCACTGTTCTTCGCCTGTCCCTCAGATAAGCTTTGCCTTGTTCTGCTTCGCTGATCCTGATCCTGTCTCAACCCCTTGACCCCCCAGTTCTGATTCCCCCTGGATGTGTCACCTGCTACTTGCGTCTGTGCTACCTGGACTCCTCATCCTCCACAACACTTTAAGAAGGTTAGTGGCTTGTCTCATTCAGCCTTGGCCCCCAAGACTACAAACCACTAACCTGCTTCTCCGTCCTCAGAGGTTCCTGTCCCATTGCCGGTGGTTGTCTGTCCCATAACCTGATCCTCAATAAAGATCTTGTTTTTTCTACTTTGTGTCTGACTGAAATTTCGGGTCCTCAGTTCTGAGCATTACACTGAAGTAGAGAAGCAATTTCAGCGGTAGTGGTTATTGTCCAGAAATGAATGGCAATATTAATTTCCGATATTGATATTAGCCCAAATTTTCATGTCAGTTAATCATTAGATTTGTGTCAATATTCATTTGTTGTACTGGTTATACTACCTTTCATTCTTTAAAATTAAATACTCTCTCTTAACCACAAGAGAGAGGTTTTTGTTTTATTCTTTCTTTATCTAAAGTCATTTAAAAGCTTTAAGGACATGATGTAGGTCTATAAGAGTCTGCATTGATATTCTCATGCTGAGTGTTCATGCATTAGGCAAACAAACCTGGTTCTTTTTTTCTTTCTCCCTATTGGTCATGGATGGGGAGTTTCTTCGCTCTCTCTTGGCAACAGTCTAGTAGCATAAAGCTCATAATATTAGTTAGTTCCAGGGAAACCCCAGGCTACAATCTATACATGGGTACACTAGCCATATGTTTTTTTTTATGATGTATGTATAAGGTTTGGCTCTTTCTGCAGATTTTTTTTTTACAAAGGATTATTTTATTTCATTATTTATATTCATACTTTTAAAAATGAGACCCGATGATATAGAGTACACTTGTAGTTTATCATGCAAAGTTACTGTAAATATAAAATATTACTATGCAATAAAATAAATAATTTGTAGCATTTCATTTCCAAATATTTTATTGGAATATGCAAAAAATATCCAATTTGTATGACCTTTCATAATTGTCTTTGATAATTATTTTGCACAGTAAGCTTATGCAGTAGATTCAGTAAAAAACATATTGGCATTGTACTGAATCGCATAAAGTCCATGAAATGTGCCTTACCTTTATCTCTGAAGCAGACTGTGGCTTTGGGCTATGACTCTTGGTATGCTCTGGCTTACATTCTGTCTTTAGCTCCCTCTTCCAATCTGTATGCCGTTGGCTTTTGGGTGTAGAGCCATCAAGATGGCTATGGCGAAGCAGTGTGGGTAGCAGTGGCGATGGCTTTGCCTCACCTGGAAATACTGGTGACATAACAGGAGCACTGACCGGACGGTTAGATTTGTTGTCTGGTGTAGTGGCCATAGCTGGGAAAAAGGAGATGCAGTGACCTCACTTTCAAATTCTAATGAAATAACACACAAATTATTCTTTGTAATATCATAAACAAAAAATGTTGTACATTTCAATATACTTTATTTTATTTAGTACCAAATTAAAACAAAAACCTCAAGGTAAACAGTTTATATCCACTTAAATAGAATCCCATTTATTACAATAAAATCATATGGTCTCATTCTGATTGATTTAAAAACTGTCCAATTTTCCTCAAAACATAATGCAATATAACCAAAGTCTGTTATATTGTTTGTATAATTATCATAAAATTAAAGTTGGTTAGAAGGCTGAGCTGACCATAAACATTTGTCTGCTTCAACTATGGGCTGGGTGGATAGAAAGCAGAGAGACAGAAGTTTTTTATGGAAAGGAAAAACAGTGCAGAGAAATATGGGCAGTAATAAAGTGTATGCGGGACAATAAAGGTTGTTTCTATTCTATTTTGCCAAGGCATGTACAAGCATGTGAAGGTGTAAAAGGACTCCTGTAACACACTAACTACGTTGCCACTGTTTTAAACATGTACAGCTCTTTACCTCCGTCCAGACTGCGTGAGTTCCTCTTACTGGAAGAGCGTTGGAACATGGGAGCTGGTCTGTCAATCAGAGAGCTGGCCTGCCTGGTCTGAGCCTGAGTCCGTCCACTGTAACGAAATTTAGAGCCTAGTGCCAGGAACTTTCTCGGGGTGGTGGCCATCTCAGTGGAAGTTAACCTGTCCACAAAGAGAGGTTATTATTTAACAGTAAGAATTCAAACACGGAAAACTGTTAAAGCAAAGCTTTGGAAAAGATTTTAAAATATACCATACACTACCTAAAGAAGGTATGATGCTCAACACATACTTTCCACAGCTTCTTGGCGGCCTTGTAATTGGGAAGTTTGAAACCAATTGCACTCTCATACTGTTCTGTCTGTTGAATACAAAACAGAATTTTAAAAGTTAAATGCTGATTTTTTTTTTTTTGATTTTTAGGGATGGGAAAAAAAAACTGGCTCTTGTAGAGAACTGGTTTTCAGTAGTTCAGATCTTCTTGATAAGAGTCATTGACAGTGGAATTTCTATCTAACTTGAACAAACTTGATCATTTTTTATCAATTCCCATCCCTACTAATTTCAGTATTACACTTATAAAAATATTCTGCTCTATCTACTTAAAAAATATTAAGGCAACTATTTGCATAATTTATTTATGATGATCAAACAAGGTCGTTCTTTGTTTAAAGTACTTTATTTTGTTACATGAAAAGGATAAATCCAAGTAAAGTGAACTTAATTTTGTCACATAGATTAAGCAAAACTATAATTTGTATAAATTACTCAACTATTTAATGGAATAACTGAAGTTAGCAAGTACACTCTAAGATATAAATAGTTAATTTCACTTAAAAAATTATGCAAACTTATTGCCTCAAAAACATTATCACATTTTTAAAACATATTACTTGATTGAAACAGTTCCTGGCTCCTGCCTGCTTTTTATTTGTTTCTCTGCTCAAACTTTGACAGAAAACATGGAAAGCAGTAATAGTTTGTTCTCTTTTTTTTCAAGATGGCTCCATGAAAATAAGCATACAATTCATGGTGCAGTTTAAAATATGAAAATGTAAATGCATGAAACTACCCAATAAGCACTATACTGCTCTGACATTATAATTGAAGCTTTGGAGTCTACATTTTCACCTTAAACATCTTAAAACTAAATTATGTGAAAAATTAAAAAGTGGCTTAATCAGTTGCTGCTGCTGGTGGCACAATGCATTGTGGGATACCTTGCTGGACAATCCCTACTGTCACATATAAACCCATGTACTAAAACAATAAATAAATAAATAAATTATTGTAACATATAAAAACACATGAAGTTATGTTGTGCGATTTAAGTATTTCAAACTTGATCAGTTTTGTTTAGCAGTACATAAACTAAATAACAAAGACATCTTGACATTATAAGTTACATACAAATAAGGAATTTGATCTAGACTTTTCCATGGTAAACAACATTCTTAAGCTCAAGTGTTCTCATCAAAATGATTTTTTTCTGCCTACATCACCAACAACAACATTACTTTGTTAGCCTACATACGGTATATTAAAAAAAACATTGTCATCGGTGCATATTTTATTTTTCAATACAGAAATCAGTTGTACAAATGTCCTGAAAGTTAAGCATGAACTTAATTGAATTGAATTTAATCTTATTTTTTTAAGTACATAGAGCAGAATTAAACGATTAAACCTTTGTTTAATCGGTGTACTTCAAATCACTGCTGGTCCATTGGTGCTTGGGATTTCTGATAGCCTCTGGTTAATATTTGGTGTTTTGAAACACTGAATACAACACAGTAGAGATAATATGATTGTTTTTTGTTGTGTGGGTGAACTTAAAAAGACAGACTAGTCCTTGAGCAATTTATTTTCTGACAAAAGTTACAATGTCTTGTATTTTGAACACATATTTTTGACCTCAATACTGCATATACTTATGTAAAGATGCTAACTTGATTGTTGATTTCACAGATTCAGCAAAATTTACTTCATCACAGATTCATTTTTCTCAGTGTAGTTAGAATAAGTCCGGTTATGGATAACAATGGTTATTTACCTCAGATGGTCGTATTTTGATAAAAAAGCTGCTGTGCTTGTAGGACACCTTAAGGACTTTGGGCCATGGGAACCGGTTGATTCTCAGTTTGTCTTTGTAAACCATCAGGCCACTTGAGCAAACTCCCAGCATGATGTCAACACCATCCAGGTCCTGTCAGAGACAGTAAAATGAGTCTTGCATTCTAAAACTCCTTTCAGATATTCAACATTAAACAAGTAGACAGCCAAAACTGGGTAGTAACTATACTGTAAATACAATCATGGTATTTAATTAAAAGTACAAACCAGATTCCAGAAATGTTGGGACACTAAGCAAATTGTGAATAAAAACTGAATGCAATGATGTGGAGATGGCAAATGTCAAATTTTTATTCGTAATAGAACATAGATGGCAGATCAAAAGTTTAATCTGAGTAAATGTAACATTTTAAAGGAAAAATATGTTGATTCAAAATTTCACAGTGTCTATAAATCCCCAAAAAGTTGGGACAAGTAGCAATAAGTGACTGGAAAAAGGAAATTGAACATATAACAAACAGACCAATTAACACTAATTAGGTCAATTGACAACATGATTGGGTATAAAAAGAGCTTCTTGGAGTGTTGGTGTCTCGCTTAAGCCAAGATGGTAAGAGGATCACCAATTCCACCATTGTTGTGCAGAAAGATAGTGCAGCAATACCAGAATGGTGTTACCCAGCGTAAAATAGTAAAGACTTTTAAGTTGTCATCATCAACCGTGCATAACATCATCAAAAGATTCAGAGAATTTGGAACGATCGCTGTGCGTTTGGGTCAAGGCCGTAAAACTCTACTGGATGCTCATGATCTCCGGGCCCTTAAGTCACTGCACCTCAAACAGGAATGCCACTGTCAAGGAAATAACAGCATGGGCTCAGGAATACTTCCAGAAAGCATCGTCAGTGAACACAATCCACCGTCCCATCCGCCGCTGCCAGCTGAAACTCTACAGAGCAAAGAGGAAGCCATTTCTAAGCAAGCTCCACAAGCTCAGCTGTTTGCACTGGGCCAGGGGTCATTTAAAATGGAGTGAGGCAAAATGGAGGACTTTGGTCAGATGAGTCA